GGTCCGCGTCTGCACGGCGACGAGGCACGGGCCCGGGACGATGCGCGTCGCCGCGTTGGCAAACGGCCCCGATAACGACGCGACGCGGGGAAGCGCCCAGTGCTCCGAGACAAAGTCGACCGAGAGCATTGGCGGCACGCGCGTGATGACGACGCCGCCTGGCAGCACCCTGGCGTGCAACGACGTGAGCGCGGCCTGCGTCGCCTCGTACGACATATCGGCCGTGAGCGCCTCTAAGTCGACGGCCACGTCCGTAGTCGAAGCGTCGGGAAAGATGTACCCGGCGTCTTCGAGGCGCGTGCGAAGCGCAGCTGCGTCCTGCGCCAGCGTCGCTGCCGGTGGCAGTAGCAATGCATCGTCCTCGACGCCGTGGGCCTTGCGGCGCGATGGCACGGTACGCAGGAGCTCCGTCGTAATTCGGCCGACGCGCTCGGGCGTGAGCTCCCAGGCGTCTTCATCGAAGCGCTCGACCTCGTCGTCGCTGCTGTCGTCGAAGCAGTCCCATCCAGTCGCCGCCATCGTGCTGCACGATTATGCACCACGCCAATAATCGGGCACGGTGGTCATCCGGATACAATGCCAGGTATCCGGATAATGAGTGGCATTCGACACCTTTGATGCGCATGTATCCGGATAGATTTATAGGTTACGTTTATCCGGTTATAGCAATGACGTCTCCGTTGCAGCACTTCAACGGCAGAGAGAACGGTCAAGAAAGCAGAAATCTCTGTTGAAATGACCAAGTTGAAGACAACGACACTAGGTCAGGTAGGTCGCAGTCTCGCCTCTCGACGCCGCGGCAACGCAGGCGCAGGCCACGTATAGACAGCGGAGGAGTTCCAACGCTTGGCTTCGTCCGTCAGCGCCATTGCTTGCCTCGTACTAGTAGACGACAAGACAATCGTGGTGACCGAACGCGAGTGCGAGGGAATCCTTGCGATCGGGCGCGCCTTGGAAACCTTTTTGCAGACGTTCTGTGCACGCCGCGACGGCAGGGAATGACTTCTCGCCGAATGCAGTCCAAGCCGTCGGGTAGCTTTCGCTTTTAGCGGCGCAGTGAAGATGCTCGGCCCTTGTTAATACAGGTTGCAAGTCCCTAAAGAAAACGTGTCGAGCAAGGCACTGAATCACGTGGACACCCAGAGCTATACCCACAGCGAGTGCAGCAGCTACTGAATCGCTCTGTGCGACCATGATGCGAGCGCTTCCTCACAAGTCCATTTTGATTTTGGGAGCTCTGGGGCATAACTCTTTGTTCCTTTCCTGTTACTACATTACTATGTGCACAAGATCGATATTCGAACGCGCTCCATGGCGACAACAGACACTGCACCAGAGACCTATAGTAGCGTTCCGATTCCACACCGTTTCGAAGGACGCATCGAGAGGTCGTAACACTACTGAAAGTGCAGCGCTTCCACATTTCCCATGCGGTGTCTGGATCTGCAGTCTGGCTTTTGAGCGCGCTTTCGAGTCTCGAACCAAATTGAAGCGTCGATTTGATGTGGGACACATTTTTGTTCGGATTGCAGCACCACTCCGAGCGAAAGGATGTCTCTTCGAGTCAGGGATGCGCTATTCATTTAGAGTGATACAGTGCACGTAAGGACAGGTTTTTACAGGGTAGGACTTGACGCGGCATGTACGTGTCCAGTGCCCATACTACAAAGCACCGTTTGTGTCCTCTGCACTAGCAACAATGCCTCCGAATGTCCCTATACATTGATACGTTCATGGAAACGTCATGCGATTGCAAACTCCACCCCCTTGCTCGCTCGCAAGGTGTGTCTGCGTTCCGTGCAAAGAATCCAATGGTGATACATTGATACAAAAGACTGAAACAGTGATACTTGAAACTCGTGTTGCCAAGCATGCCCCGTTGAGCTGCTGCGATGGAGCTAGAGAATGCGCGCTCGTAGTAGAGATGAACGGTGGCTACTTGCTTTCGGTGCGGAGGCGGCGCATCGGCGGCGGCGTCGGCGGCACGTGCATGTCCCGGTACAGCTCGCTGCGGGCGTAGTACGCACTCATGGCAGCGCGGTAAGCCTCCATGGCTGCCTCGTGCTCGCTTGCCATTGTCGCTGCGTCGTTTGTTGAGGGCCTTGTCGAAAGCATTTCGCTCACGAGCGACAAGAAGGACGCGACGACGCACGCGGCCGGCCACATCTGCATCGGACCCGACGAATGCACAAGTGAGAGTTAAAACGGAGCCAGCCCACGGCCGACCCTATTGAATAGATAGAAGTACATTATTAACACGCTACTAATAGAGCAGGTGTGTCTACAACTGGCGACGCAGCAAAAATAAATCCACTGCCGTAAAGTTTCGTTCGAAGGATACGATTGATGCTTGTGCAAAGGCGTCTCGATCTTGCCATCAGCGATCCCACGTGGCAGCCACCCCACCCATCGACAAGGGCCGACACAGACAACACCATCGGCCGACATCTTACCGCCACGCGTCGTACCACCGTGGCTGACGGTGTCATGGCTGCGTCGGGCTGCACTGTCGTGTCCTTGGCAGCGATTCGATCGTGGTTGTGCGGACGGGAGGCAGCGTGAATTTTTCACGCATACACAGCACTGTTTGTCCAACGTGCATGCGACGACTTCAATTGGGGTGAGCACCCAAGGATGACTCCTTGTGATCACTGCCTTGTGATAGTGGGATCGTTTCGAGGCTGACAAAAGCTCTTATCGAACTGTCATCCGCTGTGTGCATCCATCGATGCCTCGATGGTTCTGCACCAACCTGCTGACCGACCTTGACGCTCACTGTTCTTTTGTACTTCCTCGTTACGACGACGTTCGGCGCTTCTCAAAGTGGCCATCGTGGTGCTCGAAGGCAATTCCTAGTGTGCTATCTCAATGTACTGGGAGTTGGGGCGTCGCAGCGGAAGCTTGCGCAATTGCGCTGTTTACTTGACAGTGGTTTCTCTACGACGAGATTGAGACAGTCACGCCGCATTCGTCCCAGGAATCTCCAACGATGGTGGCCAAGAATCGATGATGTCCATGTAATATATTCTCACAGGAGGTGGTGTTTCGGTGGCGGAGCACTTGGTCATTTGACGCCCCCTTTCCACCTGCCTTGCATGCTTTTGCGCTGCAAAGCTTGTGTTGTGTCCTCGCCTGGGTTGATCCTTGCGCAGTGCTACTGCTATGTCTCTTCGTGATTAATGAGTCCGACGCGCGAAGGGCAGTTTGCCAAAGATTGATAATAGCACGACTCGTGGATGGTCGAAACAGCCCCACTTGACATGGATGGCAGTGCCGTGGGTAGCACTTCGGTCCTTATCAGGACATTGGACCATGATCCGTGCACAGCACATCGCAATCGGCATGGCCGTGAACTCTACCGCGACGGATTGAACGCCAATGGCGACCGATGAAGAAGGCGTCGTGTCGAGCCGTCTCGTTGGTCCAAAATCAAATCGGTTGCAGTGCAACTGTGCGGATTGACATCTATACCAATGGGGTCAAATTCCTTCACGAGCAACGCGGGGTGCCATATATGAACGTGTTTCGCGTCATCTTGGTTGTTACAAAGAGTTCATATACGTAGAGACTGGCAATCTCCATCTTCTTCATTCGCTCGCCAGGCCGTGGCTGCGCAGGCGGTGGTGCGGGGACTCGTCTTGCTCTTCTGTAGTCGTCTGGGGGACGCGATGTAGTACCATGAACACACAAAATCCCAGAGCATACGTTCGCCACACCACTTGCATCTAAAACTCCTTTTGGCCCACAGACAAGACTGGTTAAGGTGAGATCGGAATGGTTCACATCTCACTCCAACCAGTGTGACTTGGACGTAGAGTTACGCGACTGACTCATACGTTGAGCTGCGCCAACCGAATCAGACTGCAGAGATGGAAAAGAGTAAAAGAGTCATTTGCCTTTTGGCGCCGAGCGATGCACATCGTTTCCATCGTCTGCGCGCTCTCATCGGCAATGTCCTTGGTCAGCGACATGCTCGCAACAGGGTCGTCCCATGCCTCGACAACGTCCCACAGCCAAGACGCGGCCATCGAAGCGTTGCGCGACTACCGCCGCAAGAGCCAGCTGTACCAAGACTTGCATCTGCCTCCGACGCCGCCGCCGGCACAGCGGACGACGCGGGCGATTTGAAGCTGCGTGGAATCGAAATGGAATTGTGAGTTCCCAAGCAGTGTAAAATAGTTGGATTATAGGTTTGTTACTCAAAGGTTTTGTGTTGTGCCAGAGCATCCTCGTCCAGTGCCAAGACAGCGTCAGTACCGTGCGAGCCTCCAAACTAAAGGCAACAACAACCTGTTGACGCTCCGAGCGCGGGAGCTCTTGGCACGGAGGTATGTCTGGTTCCTGTCATGCGTTTGCAGAGTGACGTGGGTGCGAGAAATCTCAAAGGTGGCATCATTTTGGCCGGGCACCCTAAAAGTCAGATTGGCGCCAATCCAAAGGCTCACTCGAGGCTGCGATGTCGATTCGAAAATGCGTCCCCAAGAGGCATGAGTAGCATGCAGTGGTTGTGGGAGTCGTTACTACTATAAGCGACCTAGTGCTTCTTTGCCCTTGTGCGTCGGTCCTTGGATGGCACCGAGTCAGGGGTGTCCGTGGCCTTTCGTCTGCGCGTGTCCGTTGCTGGCGACTGCGCTGGTGCCGTGTCGTCCAGCGTCTCCCGCTGCAGTGCTGCATCCAGATCCTTCTACACACCAGAGTCCCACGTTCAGATTCCACATCGGCGCCAAACCGGCACCTCTTTTTCAGCCATGGCTGCGTGCGCGGCTTGGAGCTGGGCGGTCAGCGCTAGATGGTCGGCCGTGAGCTGCTGTAGAATCTCATCTTTGGCCCGCAGCCGCGCCTTGAGGTTCTACGACACACGCTACGCATTTGCGCCACACGAGGTCAAGTCGTACCATATTGGCCAGCCGGAGCTCGGCGGCGAGGCGACCTTCGCCGATCGTAAGGAGCTGGGTCGAGTCGGTCCCGAGTAAATTCTGCTGCTGCGTGAGCCACGCGTGCTGGAGTGCTGCGTGGCCTTGCAGCGCCCGCCGAAGCAGCCCCGCTTGCTGCTTGAACATGAGGTCCATCTCGACGCTCGACATGGAGAGAACGGCTTGGTCCGCCTGGAACGCGGCGAGCGCGTCGTTGCCGTCGAGCTGCGCGAGGCCCGAGAGCGCCGTGAGCACGTCAATCCCGTCGTGGAGGGCATGGTCGACGGCAGGTGTCGCGAGCCGCGGTCCGCTTCGTCCACGGCCACTGGCGGCGCCGCAGCGACCGGCGGCGCTACATCCACAAAGACGGGGGCGCTCGTAATGTACGCCGTCCACTCGTCGAGCGTCCGCGCGTCCGTGTGCACGTAGCTCGCGCTGCCAAAGGGCGTGCACTCTTTTCGCCACGGAATCGGCCACGCCATCGACGCTTGCGCAATGTGCGCCGGCTGGTCGCCAAGTCCTGCGCCCCGGTGATGATTGATACGTTGATACATGGATCTGTTTACCGGGATCGTTGGCGTCCAAGAACGGTTGCACTGCGCTCAGTTGCGCCGCGTACGTTTTGAGCTGCTCGTCCACGACCATGCCAAGGCTCTTGGCGGCCTCGACCAACGGTGCGGAGCGGTTGTTGATGATGGCGAGTGCCGTGTCCACAACCTAAGAGACCATAAGAAAGGAGATGCTGTTGGAGATGTTTCGAGGGTATCGAGTACCTCGCGGATATCAAACGCAAACGTGAGCGCACTTTGGTACTGCAGCGCGCGGATGTTGGCCATGATCTGGAAGAGGTCCAGGACGCGACCGTCTTCGAGGCACGAAGGCCGGTCGACGCCAGGCAAGAGCGGGCCGCAGAACGGGAGGCCTTGCCGGTTCGTTGCGACAAGCGACCAAATGCGCTCGAGGAACTTGGCGAGACGCACCTTGGCGACAGGGCACACGCAGTGCGGGCACATCAGCGTCTTTTCCCGGCGACTCATCTTTGTCAGCGCGGCGTTCTAGTCGAATCCAATGATTAATACATCGGATACTGGATACCGGATCGAAATGGATTGTGTACGTTGGGCAAGACAGCCTCGTCGATCGCGAGCGGGCAGCGGAGGCAGTGCCACATGGTCGACTTGGCGCCGAGCTCTTCGCGGGCGCCAGAAATCGCGCACGTGTGGCGAGGACAGACCCACTGCGTCTCGTCGTCGACGGGAAAAGGGTACGCGCCGAGGCAGAGCTGGTGGTACACCTTGGTGCAGCGGCCAAACTCACACACGACGAGTTCGCCGCCAAGGCCGCAGAGGAAGCAGCGCTCTTCCGACTCGACGTCGTCAAGCAGGGGCTCGGTCGTCGTCGGCGGCGACGAAGCCTTGGTCTTTCGGCCGTCGGGCTTGCGAGATTTGGACGCATCCGATTTGCGCGTCATGTGCTTGGCTTCCGGCGTCGCCTTGGGCTTGGTTGTCGTTGGCGACGTGGCCTCGACGGCTGGCTTTGGCTGGCGCTTGGCGCAGGTCGGACAGAACCAGGATCCCTCGGGCACCTAAGATCGGCTGAAAATGAGTGGCCACGCCGCATCCTGCATCGTCGAACGGTCGTCAGTGGCGGGTCGAGGCAGGCCATGTGAAACTCCTTCTCGCAGCTTTTGCCGTCGCAGACGAGGCGCAGACCGTCGCCACCTTTCTTAGTGCATCCGCTGCAGGGCACATCGACCTCACAATCCTTCTTCTTCTGGATGCTACAAATACGTGTAAGAGGTCGAGAAGTCGAGATCAAGGACCGCGAGCGTACATGCGCTCATAGAAGGGCGTCGCATTGATGGCGGTCGCGGTCACGATCGCCTGCTTGGCCTCGCCGAGGCCCTCTGTGTACTGGGTCCAGATTTTGGTCCCTTTCTTGACCGACTTGAACGACGGGTGGTCGTCGACAAACGCGTGCAATCCGTTGCGCAACGTCCAGCCGCTACACGCCATGGCACGTTCGTGAGCGTACGCATCGAGGGCGCGTAGATGGAGGAGCACGTACTAGTTGTGCGAGCCGTAAAAGTAGACGCAGATCTGTCCCTTGCGCTGGCGGTGCGCCACGTGGTCGACCCATTCTTCGAGCTCAACCATCTACGACGTACATACAGGAGACTGCTCGCGCCGCCAGGAAGGCCATCGACGGTGCGTACCCGTGCCGGCCAGAAGGGATGGCTTCCGACGCGTGCCAAGACGACGCCAAAGTTCTCGTTCATCATGGCGCGCATGTCTTCCTGCGTCATCGCATCTGCATGGCGCCATGAGCATCCTCGTCTCCATCTCGATGGGCGCGTACCAAAGTAGTCTTCCTCGTCCGGCGTCAGCATCGCGGCTTGAAGCGCGTCGGCCTCTCGGGTGGCGCTCGGGAAAAAAATGGCACCTCCGTTTCGGCCGTAAATATTATTATTGCGCGATGTGTCCGGATAATATACAAGAACAAGCTGTTTAAAAACAAACCAACGTGAAAATCCACACCGTGTTTGTAGCGACCGAGATCTAGGGTGGGCGGTTCCGCAGCTAGCGACGCGGCGCCGGCGCGGCCTTGGTCAAGCGCGTGAAGATGGCGTCGACCTGGTCGAGCATGAGGTCGTACGCGCCCGAGCTCGTGAGGCCACGGTGGGTCTGCTCGTTGAGCCCGCCGGGGGTCGCGGCCTCCTCGGCCATGTCGTGGAAGGCTTCGGTCGACACCATGCCCGCGTCGGCCAGCGACTGGAAGAAGGACGCGACATACGCGCGCGACGCAGAGTCCTCTACGCTGGCCATGAGCTCTAGCCTCGACGATGGAGGTGGTGTGCGTACCGACGCCGTTGTTGACGCACCACTGTTGGAGGTGGCCGCACGTTGCGTAGAAGAACGAGATCATGGCCGTCATGCCCGTCTACCAAGGACGAAGTGACGCGTGAGGCGATAGGAAGAGAATGGCATGTAGCGTACGAGCGTCGTCACTTCGCTCTCCGTGTCGACCATGACCGGCGTCCCGATCTGCAGCAAGAGCTGCTCCACGTACGACTGCTTGGGGTACGCGAGGATTGGACCCGTGCGACGCGACGAACTCGGAAGCGGGACCGTGCGCACCTAATGCCACCACGTGAATCACGAGCGCAACGCGCAAGGTTCTGCGTACCACGTTCTCCTTGGGCAGACGCACAAGCTGCACGAGCTCGTCGTACGGGATCGTGGCCATCATCGAGATGACCGTGACATGCGACGGGAAGTGGAGCGCCGGCAGTTCCTAGCTCGCCGCCAATGTAAGAGAGGCAGTACGATTGCAGTGTACCTGGCGCGCAACGTCCGGGAGCAAACCAATGAAGATGACGTTGGACGCATCAATGACGGCCTGGTTCGTGGCCGCAATCGTGACCTTGGCCGGGAACTTGGCCTGCAGCGCCTTGGCCTTCTCCGTCCCGCGCGGGCTCACGAAGATGGCCTTCGGCTCCCACGTCGACTTGGCGGCGACGGGCGAGCAGTAGCCCGTCATGACGGCGCTGCCGATCTTGCCCGTCCCGAGGAGACCCAGCACCACGTCGTTGCCCAAAGCTGCCATGCTCTTGTGTTGTTGGTAGCCGATTCAGAAATGGCGTTATCCGTACACCCGGCCCAACATCCGGATACGCGACACGCGGATCGCCACAAGCACCTGCGCGCCTCGAGAGCGAGATCGCTCCTTGACACAGATGAACGACCAACGCATTTCGTCGCTAACTTACCATTAGCTTGGTGCGCTGGTGCTCCTTTATGGCGTCCATCGACTACGTGTATAAACGACTAACTAGAGTCGTGCTAGCGGAGGTCGCCTTTGGTTTCTTTTGGCGGGCGCGGGGCAAGACCATTTCCGTCACAAACTGCTCGAGGCGCTTGTGCAGCGGAATGTACGGGTTGCAAATGACATGCTCCGTGAGCACGGCCAGCGCCTACATGCATGAGATATACGCTGTTTTGTTTCATTGTATGGTACCTCTTCAAACTCGGCAAAGTCGATTTGGAGCTCGTCGTCGGTCGTTGTCGTGCTCACTTGCGTCTCGGTGTCGTCGTACTGCCGCTGCACAAGGATGAACACCTGCTTGACGATCGCGTCCGTGACAAAGAAGCCCATGAGCTTGCAGTCTTTGGCCAGATTGAGGAATTCGTTGACGTCGAGGGTCGTGCTCGACTTGCTCGCGGCCGTCATCTCCTACACACACCTCTTGTCATTCAACGACATGTAAAATGTGGCGTACGTCGTCTGTCTTCATGTTGGAGTAGTACTTGAAGATGTGCTGGAGCGGACTCTTGAATTTCAAAAAGACGGCCCGCACCTAGTACACCAAATAAATATGGTCATCCAGAGCAGAGAGAGGTCGTACGTCGGGCGAGTGCAAGAGCAAGCGGAACGCTTCGGGTTGCGACCGACTCGCGTTGGGCAAGACGCACGTGTCGAGAAGCTCCTGGATCCGCTCTTCAAAGACCATGCTCGGAAACTTTTTGTCCGCGACCAAAATCAGCGCATGCACAAAGTCCATCGGTGACATTTCGCGCTGCGCCGTGCCGTCATCCCTACGTCATTCTCCGCGTCAGCGTCATTTCACATACTAGTACTATGTAGCCACGCACGGGGCCTGGACGCAGTGGTGGTAGATGGCGTCAACGATGGGCAAGTGCACCTTCTTGTCGACAATGTTGCAGTCCTTGCACACACATGGCATGGGCGTCACGGTCACCTCTCAATACCTTGATGAATTTGATGTACTCTTGGAGACTCATGGTCGCCGAGTGGCCGCGCAAGGTGCTGCAGCTAGTATACCACGTGTCATGACGCTACGTGCGCGCGCAAGGCGGACCTGTAGTGGCGGAAGATCGCGTGGAGGTCGTTAAAGTGCTGCTTGAGCACTTTTTGGATGCCGAAGACGCGCGTCATGACCTCCGTGTCCGAGATGCTGCGATGGCGCGCCGACGGTTCGTCCGAAATGAGCCGGCGAATCGCATCCGCGCTCACGCTGGTGAATTTACGAATCGTGTCGGCGCGGCGCTCGTCGACGATGTCACCGTCGACGCCGCGGTCGCGCTGCGACAACATCTGCGCGCCATCATCATTTCTATCAAAGTATCAAAGTATCAAAACTACCCGCCACGTAAAGCACAAGATCTTGTGCAGGAGCTTGGAGAGAACACCGGCACTCTCGTTGCTCGCGCACACGAGCGACGTCATCTCTTTCTGGAGCAGCGTGTGCAGCTCTTCGACGCGGCGCATTTCCTTGCCGAGCGTCACGACCATCATATTCTCGGCGCCGAGCGGATCGTCGGGCATGCGCTTCACCTCGAGCATCAAGCTCCGCACCTAGCACGTCTGCTTTCAAAGAGACAAGTTGTCCGCAACGCACACACCTTTTTCCACGCCGAGACGATTTGGAGAAACACCTTGCGGCACTTCTCCGTGTTGACCTTGGAAAAGTGTCCGCTACAACAGTTGCCATAAGTTTGCAACGAAGAATATATAAGAACGAACGGTGAGAGGGTGAAGAGGACGCTGATAAAGACGGCGTTTTCAAGACCGCGCTGGGCCGCGATCGAGTCGGCGGTGACAATAGCGGGGATTTTGACGTCGCTCGAAGACTCGACGCGCAGCGATTTGTTGAAGCGCTCAATGTTGGCCAATCGCTGCTCGACATCGATTTCGTGCACCATCTAGCCTCGCGTTGAGCATGGACAATCTTTGTCCAACATCGATGTACGTGGGTGTCGTAGTCGAGCGGAAACAAGTGGTGCAAGAGCGTCGAGAATTTACTGCCGTCGGCCAAGTCGTCGGTAAAGTTTTTCAGCTACGCCATCGATCGACCATGGTGTGCAAAAGTGGACAAGTTGTCTACCATTCGGTCTTGCGGTCGCAGCACAATCTTGCTCTCCTCGAGCTTCATGCGCGCCCAATGCAGCAAGATCGTGTCGACCGGCTTGCTCAGGACGTTGGTCAAGTGCACGTCGTGGTACCCCGTCGTGATCTTGTCGATCTGCGCGTGTTCCTCGGCAATCTACCACTACGTTTGTGTCTTCTTGAAAAAAGACAATGTGTACACGCCGGGAGAGCTGGCGCAACTCGGCGCCATCGTACTGCGTCTCGAGCGCCTCGAGCGACTCTTTGCTAAACTGAATCACGGACGACTCGACCATGCGCGCCATCGCAAACATGCCTTCGAGAAGCATCTTGTTGACGCGCCCGCCGCCGCCGTCGTCCCGCGGCTGCTCGTCCTCGTACACAATCGTGTCCATGCGCTCGTATGCCGCGGGCGGTGCCGTCATGGCCGAAAGAAGCGGTGGATGGTCTTGCGCTGGCGCTGTCAGACTGCCCCGCATCGTGAGCTTCAAGATGCGAATTTGGCTCTCGAGGTCCTGGACCCGCGTGATCTACCATCGCGTTTCCAGCCCAGGAAGCAGCTTGTCCGCATGATGTACCAAGTTGGAGTTGGTGGTTGTGAGCTGATCGACGTGCATTTGTAGCTTGGCGATCTTTTCCGTGGCGCTCGTCAGTTGTACGTCCTATAACAACCCACACACATACGATCTCTCTCATTGATACAAGGAAGCAGCCACCTTGCGGCTGAGCGACTCGGCGGTGACAGACAACATTGTCTGGTAGTTGGCCGACTCGCGCTACGCAGCGTACATGAGTTGTCGCACCAACCGGTCGGCGTACATAGTAGGCGCGGCGGAGTGCCTCGATGCGCCACGCGCGAAAGGTGTCGCGCACGGGCCCGCGGTTCTTGTGTCGAAACGTCCGGTCCACAAACTAGACGACAATCATGTGCTTGCAACTAAGTAATCAGACAGGTGTACGCGTCGAATGCGCCGCCGCCGGAAGACATAGTAGGCCCACTGAAAGTATAGAAAGTGCAACAACCGATGCTTCCAGATGCGCGTCGTGCCCTGGATGACGCGTTGGATCTTGCCGAACCCTTGCTTGCGCGCCGCTGTCTCGTTGTGCTTGCGCGTATTTTCTTCGAGAAGGTCGACGCACGTCCGGCGCAGTCGGCGGTATTCCTACACCCTTGTCTTCTTGATACTGTCGCGGATTCTGGAGACGTACGGCAAAGTAAGGCGCATAGCGGTCCACGTTGAGGCGCGCCGGCGTCACATCTGCGTCCTTGCGGTGGTAGATAGCCGAAAGAAGCACTTGTAGGAGCTGGTGGATGATGCCGCCAGACGCCCCGAGCCGGTCTGCGCACTACGACCCGTTTTTAGCAAATATCGATATCCACACGTCGAGATACCCGCTGGAGAAGCGAGCTCGCGACCGCCGTCACAAAGAGGTTGGGCTGCTCCAAGTACGCGGCCATGCGCTGCGCCTCTTGGAGCTTGACTTGGGCATATCTATCACCACGAACAAAAGTATTCGAACCAACATTGTCGATGGAGCCTACAAGGCAAACGAGACAAACGCGTCCTTGGTTCGCGCCCCGTGGGAATCCGTGTCGCTCGGGTCGTCGTGGGTCCACTTGGCCCACATGATTTGCTGGAGAGACCCATCGTCGTCGGCAATGTTGTTGTACGGGAATAGAATGCCGGCCTCGTCCCGCGGGTCGATGCTGGTTGTCACCGGCGGCTTGGGCTTGGCACCACCACGATGTGTGCCAAACGGAGCTTCAAACGCTCTTGGCTGGACCAAAGGCGACGGGTTGGGAGGCAGCCGGCGGTGCGTCGAGCTGGCCGTGGCTCTAGAAACACGCCCTCGAAACTTGACATCTCCAAAGAATGCAGCCTACGCGTGCCGAGGGAGGGACGGCCGAAGCGGCTCGCGGACCTCGGTGGCTTTGGCCAAGCTCTCGCGGAAGACGCGCGGAAGCGATGTCGTGGGAAAGTGCGGCTCCATGCTTGCATGAAACCGATTGGAGACCTCGAAAAACCCGTTTCGTTGTTGTGTGTTTAAACGTGCTGGCCCGCGGAGTTTATTCGGCGCTCGAACGCGACGCTGACGTTGCGCATGAGCATCGCGATCGTCATGGGCCCGACCCCTACGTCGAGAATGCGTTTAAACACGTTTAATAATGTGGGCGAGGCGCACCGCCAGGCACAGGCGTAATCGCGCCAGCCACGCCCATGGCTTCGTCAAAGCACACGTCGCCGACGACCGAGGACGCACCGCCGTCCGAGACAAAGTTGATGCCAACGTCGATGACGACCGCGCCAGGCTTGAGCCAGCTCCCGCGAACAAGGCGCGGGACTCCGCAGGCGCTAATGACAATATCGGCCATCCCAACGAACATTGGAATCTACGGTCGCATGAGCCGTCGACACGCCTCCATCATCGATGGGCAGAAGGTACGTTGCCAGTGCGGGAGTGGCACGAGATGACCGTCGCGTGGCGCTTGCGCAAGAGCATGCCCACGGGGTTGCCGACCAAGTCGCTACGCCCCAGCACAACGACGACCTTGCCTTGTAGCTCAATGCCCTCCTACGGCGTTAATGAGGGGCTGCACAACGTTAAAACACCGACCTCGTCCAGCAGCTGAAGAACGCCCTCGGGTGTGCACGCAGTAAAGTGCGGCGTGCGCCCGCGCATCGAGAGCTCACCGACGTTGAACGGATGCAGCCCATCGACGTCTTTCGTCGGCAAGACGGCATCGATGACAGCCTTCTCGTCGATCGTCGGCGGCAGCGGCAGCTACGTACTATGAGGTCGTCTCCCATGGATGACGTCGAGAGACACACCTGCACCAAGATGCCATCGATGGACGCGTCGGCGTTAAACGCAGCGATTTGGTTCAAGAGGTCCGCCTAGACAAGCCATGAGGATGACGATGGCAAGTGGATCAACGTACTTGGGCAACGTCCATGGGGAAGAACCGGTTCACAGACGTGATGCCAACCTCAAGGCACGCGCGTCCCTTGGCCTCGACGTACAAGCGCGAGTCCTTCCGGTCGCCAACCATGATCACACCGAGCGATGGCCGCTACATAGTCCAGCATGATGAGCAGGAGCGACGCAAGCATGGCTGGTACCGCAGCCGTCGTCGCCGCGATGGCATCAATCTACAGAGGTGCTTAGACGATGGACATGGCATGCGTCTACCTTGGCCTTGACCTGCGCACGCATCTTGGAGGCGATCTGCGCGCCTTGGATGACCCGCGTCGCCACGCCCATCTTCACTGGTGTTTGCGAATCTTCGCGCAGTTTCGCGTCCAATTCGGCATTGTAGGGTTTAAATGCGGCATATTGGGCGTACGGTGGCCAGGGAACGGCAAGGTTGTCCCATGCAACCGTCGTGCAATCGATCGAAATGCAAGGAGCCTTATGGAAGTGTCTTGCGCACAGACGTCTGCATCTCGCAGTACTGACGACGGCAATGGGCAGCGACCCTATTTCCCGCTCGCCGTCTTTAAAGTGGCATATGCCGAAAACACACTTGACCTCTATCATCCAATATTATCATGTGTGGCGAGTATATCGAAGCTAGAAAGCGAAGTTTAGAGGCCAACGGTCGAAGTTGATAGGCAGGTCGCACGATGATTGGCTGGAAAAAGGTTGGTGCGGAAGCCTTCAGGTCGGCCGGTCATTTTGGAATGCGATCAGTTGAGATTTGCAGGTGTCGTAGACTAGTCGACGAGTAGAACGCGCCCGATGACTGCCATTATCTCTAGAATTACTCTGAAACACAGGAGGATATTTATCCTGACGAGGGCCACACGAATCACTGAATCTAGATTGTAGTCTAGCAAGGGGAATGAAAATGATAGACCTAATGCTTACATTTGGAAGTGCCGTCTGATTATGTTGCACATTTTGACGATACTAAGCTCTCTGATACATTCCCTTTTTACTATTACCATTGACTCTACCTATTCACACAGTAGTAGCCATCGCAGAGTTGTCGAGCTAGACGAGAAAGAAAGCCGTGCAGTCCGCGTGACTACAAGTCCTAGGACAATTGAAGAGGCTCCACGACCTCCCACCCATCGTCATCGCAATCATCGTCGGCACCGCAGTTGCCCTGCGCATTGGGACCGTGCGCCTCAACATGAGCATTAAAGCGGGCGCTTGTCATGCTCGGCTCAGTGGCGACGTCTGCCGGGTGCGACGCATCGCGAGGATGGTCAAACCATGCGGTTTCCTAGACGAAAGACAGTAAGAGCCCGAGAGAAACTTCGCCAAGCGGAGTCTTACGGCCGCCTCGAGGTACGCGTGGAGAATCTCCACAATCGAAACATGTCGGCGTCTTCGGCGTACGTCAGTGGCGACACATCGCCCTACAACATCCTTGGCAATGAGACCTCGTTTATCGGTTTCAACACACTACCTTGCTGATGTCGCTGCTGGCGCCGCGCTCGAGGAGCTCCAAGACGTGTCCGACGCGCGTGGTTTCGTCTTCAATGCAAGCAATGCAATAGTAGAGCGCCGAGCTCTCGCCGTCCTAGAGCTCTAGTTAGTCGATCACACGGACATGTATTTCTCCATCGTAGTAGAACCTCCATGCACACGGGGGCGCCGGCCTCGAGAAGTTCGTGCGCGATCTCAGGTTGGTTGCAAATGTAGGCAAACATCAACGGCGACACGGCAATCTACGCAGCTGTGAGTTCGAGCGACTGAATGATGCAATGTCGGACCCCCCGAGGCCCCCCCGGGAGGGGGCGCACGCTGGGTGGCAGTCTCCCCAGCGCGAAGATACGCTGCCGCGTATGGAGTACATCCGGGGCGACAAGTTCCTTTACGCGGGCGACGTCCCCGTCTTGGATCGCAGCAAAGAGCGCGGGGAGCTCGAGCCAGTTGACGCTGGCGCTGGCGCTGCCGATGAGGTGTTGCATGCGGCCGCTGTCCGAGACGGCCGCGGCGGCCTCCTCCATAGCGGCTTTCTAAAGGACAAACCATGAAGACATTGCTCTTGCGAAGGAGTTGAACCGCCATCGGTGGGATGTATTCCTGGCGGGCGATGAGGAGCCGCACAAGGTCATAGTCGCGACGCTGGATCGCGCAGACCATTGCCGTGGCGTGCTCCTAGAACGCTGTGTTCAATGCACCGCGCAAGAAGTATACGACCGCACTGGAGATGAGCTCACGTGGATGTCGGGTGCTGCGCCGCGGTCGAGAAGCTCCAACACATGCGTCATGCGATCGATGGCGTTCTCGACGTGGGCGATGCAAGACGCAAGCACCGTCGTGTCAGAGTCCTAGTACAAGCACAGTAGTGTATCTGTCGTGGGCGTCCAACGCATTTTGTACCGTTGACGGCGACGCGCCAGCGTGCAAGAGCAGCAGCGCCACCTCTGGCTGGTTGCAAATGTACGCGTAGCCAAGCGCTGAGACTACCGCCCGCTACGTAAGAAATTGGCTTTGAAAAGACGACGTTTTCGTACATTGAAGAGATCGCGGCGCTCGACGGGCACGCATTTCAGCAGCGCCTTGGGCGTGTCCGCGGCCACGAGGAGGCGAGTGATTCCAACATGGCCGAGCTGAATGGCTGTAAAGAGTGGCGAGATCCCAGACGCCTACAAAATGTTAGGCCAGGACATCTAAGCTGAGCGAGTGTTGTACGAGGTTGAAGGGTGACGCGCCCCGCTTTACGAGCTCCGCAACGCAGGCTTCGTCGGCGTCGGCCACGGCCTTGCTCAACGGCGTGTGAAAGCTCTACGCAGGTCGTGTTGACACATCCGTCCGCAACGATGGGACACGATGACCTTGTCGACAGCCTCAATGTTGGCGCCATGCGAGAGGAGGATGTCCAGAAGGGACCAGTACCGCTTTGCGACGGCGCGGTGAACTGCAGGCGACAGCGCCGCTTTCTAGAGCATTCCATGAGAGAGGAGTCATACATCGACAGACCATGAAGCGTTGTTGGTGGAGGCGCTCGAGGAGGGAGATGGCAAAGCCGTCGTCGACCGCAGCGGCAAGAACGTTGCAGTCGGATGGGTCGTCGGCGAGCGTGATCTCGCAGCGCTGGTGCAGCACGAGCGTGACACCGTCAAAGTAGAAGAGGTGGCCCGAGATCGCCGCGCCGGGACTCTGATCGATGCCCACCGCGGCGTCCGAGAGAAGCGTACCCCACTCGATGACCCAGAGGTGGCTCGTGTCGGCGGCCACGGCGCCATACGTGGCATCGTGTACGACGATGCGGCCGTTCGGAAGGTCGAGGCACTGCACGAGGCGCAGGCTTGCAAACGCGGTCACTGCGTGAAAGCGCAGGTGGAACGCGAGCTGGTGAAGCCACATGAACTTTTTCTGCAGACGAAAGACGAGTGTGCCGCTGGTTGCGTCGAGGTACTCGTCTATCGTCTGCGCGCAGACGTCGCAGCCCACGCGACCCAGCGGCGACGTGTGGCCCGTCTTGATGACGTCGAGCGTCGAGAGCAAAAGGCAACGGCTGCGCCACGGCGCGTAGTAGCCCAAGCGCTGGTGCGTCGCTGACAGAGCCTGACTCAGCAGCAGCGGCATGATGAACCAAAAAGCAAACTGACATTTGTCAATTGCCACAATCCATCGGCACGGAACTGTCTCCGAGCAGTGTGGCCAATCGAAACGCTGGTGAATGATGGTGATTGTCAAGAATGATTGCTGTTTTGAAGGCGCGTCTGCTGAGAATCTCGTCGTGAGCGCCACCCCGACGTCAGTAATACCGGTACCCAATGCACGAATGTTATGCTGTCGGTAAAAAATTCCTTGCGACTTTCAACGTCCATCGCACGCGACTGGACTACACTCGACTGGCCTGCGCAAGACGTGGTCGCCACCACGGTGTTGGAGCCGCCTGCATGGATGCCACATGCTACCACGGGTCAACAATAAATTGACCCTTCCGTTGTGCAAGACACGCGAGATCAAATACGGTCGCTATCGCACTGCAAGCCGAACGCGCGATGGGAGAGGTATACACTGGGTTGCAGAGTGGGGTCGATGCGTAGGATGTTAGATCGGGCGCTTCGCATCGAGCCTCTCGGCGTTTTGCCGGAGCCACTTGAGATGCAAGACGTGTTCGATAGACGTGTTGTCGACTTCGTCGCGTTCGTAGTGTTCCAGTTGCAGCGTGCGCAGCATGCGTCCGTCGTCGTCGCACTCGATCGCAAGGCGGTGCAGCATCGGCCGGTACGATACCTAAGACCCATGTGCAGCATTCGACCAACGATGACTTGTCGTCGTCGTACGGCAATTGGGTCCTCTGCCATGCCTGGATAGGACACTAGCAACGCAACCGTCGTATACGCACGAACGCGGATTGCGTGGACGATGGCGCTTGGCTTGACCTACAGCAGCCAGAAGCAAGTCACTTGTGGTGCCCGTCGTGGAGGACGCACGAGGCCGCTTTGTAGATCTCACAGGCGGCGCCCAAGGCTAAAAGGCGCTTCAGATGCGTAAGCTGCGCGTCTTCGTCCGTGAGGTAAGCGACGCAGTAGTAGAGCACACTGGTGTGCCCCGTGGGCTACACGCATACCGTCGAGCGATATACCCCTAGAGCTGCGGTCCACGCACCGGTCCAAGGACACTTGCGCCGGCGTGTAAGAGCGCTTCTGCGATCTCTGGTTGGTTGCACCGGTACGCATACATGAGGCCCGAGAGGTCTCTCTGCACGCGCAGTCAGGGCGAGATGGATCGACTCATGGACGGCGTACGCTGTCAGGGTCGATTCGATTGGTGGGCGCGATCGCGTCGACGACGGCGCGTGGATTGTGCTGTAACATGCACGTCACCATCGAGAGTTGTCCTAGCTGGATGGCTCGGAAGAGCGGCGAGCTACCGTCCGTCTACGCGCCATCGCTCGTCATATCCGATACATGTGCGATGTACCTCCTTGTTTGGCGCCGCGCCGCGCTGGAGCAGAAGCGCTGCCATGGCCTCGGCGTCGTCTTCAACGGCAACAAGCAGCGCCGTGCGGGCCTTCTAATCTTAGTCAGCCTCGAGACGTAGGCGGACAGATACCGCATCATAGGTGTCGACGGGCACGCTGTGATCGAGCAGCAGCGAGAGAAGCGTTGGGTAGCGCTTCCGGACGGCCTCGTGCAGTGCCGGCGGCGGGTGCGGCCACTACCATGTGCACATGTCATGACGAGCTGATGCAAGGAATAGATGGCACCGCGAGGACGCCACGATGCAAGCTCTCGAGCACGAGGTGGGCAAAGCCGTCGCGCACGCTGTCGCAGAGCCGAGCACTCTCCGCAGCTTGGTCAAAGAACCACACATCGACCCGCATGTGCAGGAAGAGCGAGTTGCTTTGAAAGACAAGATGTCGCTTGGCACGGTCTCGAGCAGATGCAGTTGACGCTCGAAGAAGGCGGCGCGCCACGGAAGGCCCCAACGGTGCGTCACGTGCGCCGGGACAGCGCCGAGCGATGTGTTCACCACCACGACATCGTTGGGCCCAAAGTAGAAGCACTGGACGATGCGCAGGTCGGCGAGGCGGGCGTGGCAGTGGACCTGGAGCTGGAGCGACACGTTGGGCAAGGCCACGATCGACGTTGGCACATGCAGCTGCAAACGCCCCATCGACGCATCCAGCGCGGTCGCCATCGTAGTGTGGCACGCATGGCAGCCTGCCTACGCACGACAAATCGTAAAGACCTGTGCTCATCGTACACCATGGGAATGGCGTGGAAGAGCGTCTTGGTGTCGTTGACGACGCGGAGCTGGCGAAACTCGAGGCGCGGATCGCTCCACGGCGCCAAGAAGCCTACGATCGATGTCTAGCAGGCGGTTGCAGAGTACTCGCCGTACCGTAGCGTGGGCCCGAAGACGCGCACGCCTCTGCTATCGTTAACCCCATGCCAGATTGCTGCACGGAGATTGCGCCGCGCGTGCATTGCGTCAAATCTGTGTGCATGCAACTCATTTTGGCCAATGAACGAGTTTACCCGAAGGCAACTTAAGGGACCGATGTGTTGCAGGTGACCTCGTCGCTGCTCCAGCGCAGTTGGCTCCAGCATCCGGAGCGAGACAGCCCGCGCACGAGACGATCTGTGTACTAGCCCCCAGCGACCGACGTTGCGAGCTTCGTTTAAGATGCGCACATGAAGCACAAGCTGTTAAACCAAATGCGTTTGATAGGTTGAACGAATAACGCAGCTGGACCAAATCTTGTACCGTCGTGAGCATGGGCCATGGCCTGCGCCTCATCTGCGCGCTCCTTCTGCACGTCCTTCTTGACGCCTACGTCTACTTTGAGGCACCTTTTGCTGCCGAGCGCTACGTGCTCTCGCCCGTGCTTTTGGACGAGTCGGAGGTCCACCTTGTCCTCCACCGCATCGAGCCAGGCACCGAGACTGGCGACGACGACGCCAACGACTTTCGCGTGCAGACCACCGACCGCCTCGTCGGTGTCGACAATGCGACCATGTCGACGCTGTCTTTTGAAGCCATTGCAGACACGCCACCCAACTCGACGTTCATCGTGCCGCTGCTCACGGAGCTCGACGAGCCCGAGGTGGAGGACGCGGTGCGCCTCGAGGGCTTTCTACAGCTCCACGTCATGGCGCCCACGACGCTGTCAGTGCGACTACGAAGCGGTGCACTTGGTGCTGTACCTGCAGCGGCGTGCCTCGCTCCGAACACAAGCACGTGCGCGATGCACGCTTCGTTCGACCGCGCCCAGCGGCGGATGGTGCTGCGCCTTGCCTTCTTCCAGAGCAAGGACGCGTCCTTGGAGCGCGGCGATACGTTCTTAGCGGTGGACGGCGTCGAGATCTCGCTCGCACCGCTCGATGAGATCGTCGAAGGCGTGATGAAACCTGGCGCATCGCCTGTTGCGGTGCCCCTTGTGGACACGCGCGACGGCCATTCGAACGTTCTGAGCGGCTTCTTGCGCCTCACGCGCCTCGAGCCACGCACCTTGCTCTTTGAGCCGACGCTGACGCGGCGACGTGACGCACTCGTGCGCTTGATCGCCGCCGACAATGCCGTCGCCGCGTACAACGGCATGCCCGTGACGCACGCTGCGTATCGACGGTTTGTCACGACCGACCCGATTGGTGCCGCGCGGGTGATGGGATTGGAGAGCGACGGCATGCCAAGCAGCGAGATGCCTCGTCCGTCGAAGCTGCGCGCCATCGAGACGCAAGAGGGGGCTGGTGGCGACGACGAGGAACACAGGAATGCACCGACACCCAGCGTGACTGCACCGACCCCGGCACCGACCCCCGTGCCACTTCCGCCAGTCGTACCGATGGAGTCGGTGCCGCCACCACCACCCAGCCCAGACGATAGCATCTACTCGGTGACGTTCGCCGTCGAGACGCGGCTTGGCATTATGTGGAATGCGTCCGTGACGGACAAGACGCTGGTCGAAGATGTCATTTCCCACTCGCCAGCTGCCGCCGTGGGGCTCATCAAGCCCAAGGACCACTTGCTCTCGATCAATGCGCACAACGTCTCGCGCGTCGGGCCGGAAGAGCTCATGACACCGTTCAAAGCGGCGGGGTGGCCCAAAACGCTCACGTTCCTCCGCTACAAGGAGCCACCCCGCGCCCCCGCCCCCGTCGTCAACACGACGGTGGCGCCAGCACCCGACACGCGGTTTCCTTTGCTAGCGCACGTTAACATTAGCGCCGCGCGTCAAAACGGATGCGACTTTTACTACGTCGTCGAGTTTAACGTCGTCGGGAACCCGCCGCAGCCCATTGGCATTGGGTGGGACATGGACGTCGGCAACCAATCCGTCGTCAAGCTCATCGTGACCAACTCGTCCGCCGAGCGCGTCAAAGTGCTGGGTCTCGGCGACCACTTGGTCGACATCAACGGCATCAATGTGTCGATGCTGCCGCCGCGGCGCATGGCACAGACGTTCGAGAGTGTTCGCAACCCACGGCGACTCGTGTTGTACGCGCCGCCGTGTGCGATCGCAACGACAACGGTGGTCGTCGCCCCTTCTGGACAAGTTGTCCTCGATCCCGTGCACGTGTTCTGGGCCACCGTGCCTCTCTCGACGGTGGCGAGTCACCGCCAAGACGGACACGTTGTGCGCTACGCGGTGCGCATCGCGGCACTCTGTGCGATCGGCATCGAGTGGGACCGGGACGCCCCGTTCGGAGCAATCGTGCAGCACGTGCAGCCGCAGAGTCTCCTTGCGAACCGAACCGACGTCACCATTCTGCCGCTGGAGACGCTCGTGGGCATCGACGTGCTCAATGTGACGACCCTACCCCTCGCCGACATCAAAGTGCTGTTTGAGACGAGCCCGTTTCCCAAGCAACTCATCTTTGAGACGTCGCCGCCATCGAATGTGACGACCGCGGCCCCTCTTCGCATGCGCCACACGCTCACGTTCACCGACGACGCGATGCTGATGAACTGGAGCCTCCCGCTCGTTGTCGCCGAGTGGAGTGCGTCGCATCGCATCCAAGAGAACGTCGTCGTCGTCATCGCGAGTCCGTCCACCGCGTGCTCGGCGCTGCAAACGACGACACCTGGCACGCTCGTGCTTGCGTTTCGAGGCGTGTGCGCGTTCACCGAGAAGGCCAAGCGCGTCGCAGCTGCAAGCCGCACCGGCCTCCTTCTTATCAACGACCAAACGAAAGGCCCACTCGCCTTCCCCAGAACGACGACGACGACCGTCGAGCCGACGTCGATCCCGGTTGCCATGTAGGACGCTTTGCCGTGTAGTTCTTCGGTATTGAAGCACGATACAGGATGGCCAAGAACGACGGCGAGCTGCTGTACGCACTGCTGCAGGCGCGGCCCACGGCAGGCGCCGCCGTCTGGGTTCAAGAGCCCGCGGCGTCTCCTCTCGGGCCGTGGCCAGCCTCGGAGCCGTCCCCAACGACCATGCGCGTCAGCGTTGGGAGCCACGAGCGCGTCATGACGGTCAACCATACGGGCCCGCACCCGTTTGTGAACGCGACAGTCGCGCCGCTTCAGCTCGTGCACGCGTACCCGCTCCAGACGGCGTGTCATCGGGACGATCTCAACGTCCGCGGTCGCGGCGCCGTCGTCGTCGTCAAGCGCGGCAAGTGCAACATCATCCACAAGGCCATGTACATGCACCGTTCTTGGCAGTCTGATTGTCTCTATCCTCGCGATCTAGGACCGTGCAAAAGATGGGGGCCAAAGGGATTCTCGTCGTCAATGACGACGAAGACCATCCGATTTACTTGGAGCCGCCGCGCGAGATTCATATTTGGATCCTCGTGTACACATTGCCCATGATACGAAAGACACTATTGTACACATGTCTAGGATCAATGCCACCGACGGCCATTGGCTCGAAGACGCGTTCCGTGCCTCCCACGACACTACGCCCGTGCCAGTGTTTCTGCGTCTGCAACACTAGGGACGCATTCTAAGTTACCTGCAGAACCTTGCTATTTAACGATTTCTGTGTCGCTACGCTACACAATCGCAACCGTATCGGCCGGCGACGCGACAGCTGCGACTTGCTCGGGGGGCGTCGTGAGCTCATCCTCGTCGTCGTCGTTCGTCGCCTCTGCCACTGTCACTGTCATTGTCGTTGGTGCAGTGTGGCGCCGGGAGACTCGCACGGCAAGGACGAGGGCGATCACGCCCATGGCCACGGCCGCCGTCGCAATAGCAAGACTGTAGCCCTGGCCGAGGCCCCAGAGCGAGTCGTTCTTGTCGCCTTCAGACGCCGACTGGACAGCCGCAAACACACCGGCCGTCGCGTCGTCCTCAAAGGCGTCGAGCACTCCAAAGTAGCGCAGCCAGCCGGCGCCGACGCCGCCAAAGTTGAGGCCGATGACGTCCGACTGGCAGCTTGTGTCGATTGTGTCGAGGTTGCCGCCGCCGAGCACGTACGAGGCGAGGATCTTGACGCCGCATGTGGTGCCGCCCGACTTCATGCGCGTCGTAAACGTCGTGCAGTGCGCCGACGTCGGGAACTCAATGAGCCGGTGCGGCCCGACCATCGACGCGTTCTCGTCACGCGCGTAGCCCCAGCGCGTCTGCGGGTCCAAGCCGCCGGCCATGAGGAGCGCCGTGGCGCCTCGCGGGACGCTCGCCGTCTTGTTGAAGTACTGGTCGCGCTCATAGACGAACGGCGGGCTCTTCGGGAGGTGAAACTCGGCGCAGTTGGGGTCGCGCGAGCCCGTGAATGTACAGTACTGCTCGACGAGCGAGTACGTGGCGCCTCCGAAGAGCCCGGCATCGAAGATCGCCTTGAGCTCCGACTGCGACGGCGTCGGTGTCTCCCACATCTCCGAGTAGACGATGAGGCCGTAGAGAAGCTCCGAGTAGTACAAGGTCGTGTCTTCGTCTGAGGCCTTTGCGGCCCACCGGCCTTCTTCGCGGATGTAAATGTCGATAAAGCTCTGGAGCACCTTGACGTCCTTGGGCGCGCAGCGCTCAAAGCGGAAGAGGAGTGCCGGGATCATCTCGCGGTACATTTGACTCATGAGCATCGAGCCGAAGAGCGAGCGAAGCGTCTGGGAGGGCGCGCCCCCGATCTGCAGCATGAGGTCGGCGCACAAGTTGACATTCGTGCCGTACTCGCGGTCGAGCTTGTCGTAGACGGCCCACGCCACGTCCGTGACGTTCCGGCCTTGGAATTTGGCGCCACAAAACGCGTCTTCTTGGCACAGATCCAGAAAGCGATTGCCAACCATGGCCACGTCGCGGTCCCAATTCGAGAAGGTCGACATGCTCTTGAAGCTTGGGCTGCTCTGCGAAACGATGCTGTCCACAATGTAGCCCTTGATCTCGGGCGACTGGAGCTGCATGAGCCGCTCGACGAGGAACGTGCCGTAGCTGAGCGCGTAGACGTACACCTCTTTCGACGCCTGCGCCGACTCGATGATGCGCTTGATGTCGTACGCGGCGCTCGTAACGGAGAAGGCTTCAGTGTGGTTTTGGATCTGGAACAAAATGTCCTTGATGCAGTTGGGGTACTCTTCGTCGGTGATGCTCACGCCGCCCGGACTGCCCGATTGCATGCTCGCCGCCTAGGTTGTGCGAGATGAGATACATGCGTGAGAACTATGTGTCGTCGTACGGCGTTGCACTCGAGGCGGTTGCTGCGACCCGTGCCTCGGTGGTCCATCGTGTACAAGGTTACGGTCTCGTTCATCTCAAAGTACAAGTTGGCCATGAGCGTCTCCACTACAGAGCTTCGTTAGCACAACACGTGTGAAGAGCCATGCGGGCGTACTGGCAGTGGACGAGTCGCCAGGGCCGCCTTGGAGCACCCACAACACCTTCTCGGTGCCAATGGTAACCTTGGCCGGGTTGGCCAGCTTTCGCTTGACAAAAACATCGATGGTCTGGCCGCGCGGATCGGTGCAGACCTCCTTGTGGCACAACGGGAGCTCAAACTGCCCGCACTCGTAGCCCGTCGTGGCGTCGAGGCGGCGCTGGCCGCCCAAGGCGTCGGCTTCCAGATGCACGCGGGGTAGGTGGCTCTTGGTCGCCGCCATCTGCGCCATGCTGTAGCCGCTGCCGATCGAGTTCATGCTGCACGCGTACCAGCCGTCAAAGGGCAGCGTCGTGTAGGCATGCGCGGCCAGCGCCAGCATCGAGAGGACAGCCGCTTGCAGCTGCATGAGGTCGAAAGCCAAAATGAAGATTTGGGGTCGCTTGGATGTTCGACTCGTCGCTGATTGGCTACGCGACGGTAATTAAATACGGTCTCTGTATAAAGACGTTTGTATAGACGATCCCAGATGGGTTTAAAATTTGGCTCGATTCACCGCGCGTTTCAGTTGTTCCTTCGAAACAGCTCTGCAACTGCTGTTTATAGAGAATTATACCTATTATATAGAGATACTCCTTGATGCAAATCGTACAAGTATTGAAAAGAGAGAATAGTACGTTTTGTCGTTTGGTAAGAGGTGAAGGAAAACTCATCTAGTACAACCGAAGAACCATAGTTATGAAGGAGATTTCTGGGAGATTGTGGGGAATACTCAAGATTAGGGTCCAATAAAGCTCGAAAAATGAGAAATGACCTTGAAGTCGGGGGATTGTGGCGCCAGACCAAGCAACAACGTCTGGCCACAGCCATGAGCACCCACCGCAAGCACCTCTGCATCAAGCAGTGGATTTGTAGAAAGCTTTCTCTCTCCTTTATTTCAAGTTAGTAGAATACATCCTAGCGATCTATTACTCGTACTGGACAACAGTTACAGATATAACGGTCAAATGGTGATGTGTCCAATATCGTCTACAGCCCTGAACACGACAACCCATTTACGGGACCATCTTTTGTCTCCTTCCCTACAGATCGTGGACGAAGCAGGTTTCGATCCGCCGACACAATCTTATGCACCGACAACGTCTCGAGATTATTCGTACACCGGGTCACGCGAAACCGTCGGACCACGTCCTGTCTCCACAGGAAAAGACAGAATCGATAGGTAGATAAAACTTATCCCTCAACACGAACGAGCTTGAAGAGCGCGGCCATATCCTTATTGGTGCTCGTGCGGCGAATGCAGAAGAGGGACCCGTCCGGCCGCATGCTGACCCAGCCGCCCAAGCCAAAGCAGCTCGCAAAGCTAAAGAGCGTCGTCTCCGGACGCGATACGTCGATCGCAAACTGCTCGTAGGATTTCAACCCCGCGCCTTGGATGCGCATCGCGCCGAGCGCGTTGATACCGAGAAACAAGCCGGAGCTCTCGCTTCGGAAGCCCCACATGTCGGTGCTGTCGGCCAGCGTAAACGCGCGGAAGAGGCAGTCCGCCGACGCTGCGTCCTTGCTACGCATCTTTTCTCTGAGATCTCCACAGAGACAGCAATTCGTACCACACAACTGGGTCGCCATTGACGTTGGCGACGAACTTTCGTGTTGTGAGCTCTTGGAACGCGCAGCGAAACTGCGGCGAAATGGTGAGCAGCGAGCTCGTGAGCTTGGTGGCTTTGGCCGTCACGAGCCGCATGTCATCTTTTGTTTTCTCCGACTTGGCCTCGATGCGGTCGAGCTGCGCCAGCTGCATATCGAGGTGGTTGGAAATTCCTTTGGACGCGTGCTTGAGCTATAACATGTACGCAACATGGAGTGCAGATGCGAGTGCCACGTTCGTACTTCGAGGAGCTGCGGCCCCAGCGCCGCAAGGTACGCGGCCTGCTCCTTCGTGAGGCCATTGTCCGAGGCGTAGACGTCTCCTTGGTCCTCACCACTGCCATTTGACGGCAAGAACGCCGTAGCTACAAGCACAAAGCGAGTGTGCGATGCTCTTCTCGGGCCCATTCTACCGGGCGGCGAGGCGTGCGCCGACTCGTAGTGCTCCATGAGCGCGCGCTGCGACACCTGCGCGACGCGGCACTCGGGGCAGATGAAGCCCATTGCGATCTAGCACACGACGTCAGGCAATGGTCGAGAAGGCGAGCGACCGACCTCTTTGGACGGCGCCGACGCATGCGGCAGCACCACCGTGGGCTCTCTTGAAAACTTGTTGGCGAGCCAGCCCGACCAGGACATGCCGCTACGCTCACCATCATGAGCACAACCACCGCTGCGACGCTGCGCACCGCACGACGTAGTTGGCTTGCCCGACGACTTGCTGCGTCACGTCCAGCGCCGTCTCGGTCTGGTCCAGTTGCTCTAATATCGGGCAGGCGTGAGCTGGCGGCGACTCGCTGGCGTCGCACCCGACTGCATCACGAGCGCCGACGCAACGTCGCGCGAGATGGCCACCGTCTCCGCGTTCAGGCGCAACGATGCGCGGTACTTGTCGGCCGCGGCCGTCGTCGCGGCCGTCGTCCCCACCTCCATATCGCGCTTGCTAAAAACAGTCCGTTCTTATCCGAACGCCAATTTCTCGCGACAAACAGTGTATTGAAACACTGTTTCAATGCGTTTTACGGCGTTTACTCGATTCCAGCCGCCGAGGGACAGCAATGCAGAACACGTCCTGAGCCATGCAGGGTGCTCACGCTAAGTCCTCTCGCACGTTGCGTACCGAGGCAGGCCCGCGCTGTCTCTCCATCGCACGACATGGCCTCTTCATTTGGGCGTCTTGGATCCACACGCTGCCACGTGAACGTGTCTGATTGGTTCCCACGTACCAATCAGCACTGACTGCCATCGTCGAAGTCGGTTGCGGAGCATGGAGGACGCCGCCCTGGACGCCACCACAAGCGCCATGGACGCGTGGATCGCCGTCATCGTCGCGCTGCTCATCGGTACCATCTCGCTGGTGTGGTACGTCCTAGCGCAGCGCCCGCCGCCGCCAGTCGAGGAGCCTGTGCCACCGACCAAGTTTGAGACGTTTGTGCGGACGCAAAGCGGCGCCGCGCCACGCGTCCTTTTCTCAACAGCTGCCGAGCCCGCAACAATTCGCTCCTTGCTGAACCGCGCCAGCGTCGACGTGCTGCACGTCGATCTGACGCGCATTGCGGGCAAGACTGGGATTCTGGCCGTCTTGCGGACGTGTGGTGACGCGACCGACGACTGCACCGAGTTCCTCTTTGAGAACGGCCACTACATTGGGAGCAGTCAGCTCCTCGAGGCAATGTACCGGTCGGGTGAGCTCGCGAAGCGCCTTCACGTGGCGCTGCCACCGCGCGCCGACGACGAACTTCGGCTTCCGACCGTGACCTTGGGCGCGGCTGCGGAGCCATGCGTCACGACCCAGCTGTCGATGGCGCAGCTACGCGACGCGGACTTTAACGCCAACGCACTTGCACCGAGCACGAAGTCGCTGGCGTCGCGACCACATGGCCAAAGCAGTGCGAACCGCAGCCAGCTCCTCGTCTCGTTGTCGCCAGTACGTTGCACGCCTAGTATAGTGGGTAGGCAGCTCATGTCTTTGGTGTAGACCGTGACCGAGTACCCGTGGGATGTCATGGACGTGCTCGTCGCCCGCCCGTTGGAGACGACGACCGACTTGCTCACGCTACCGGAGCCCGGGTGGGTCGATGCCGCCCACACCAACGGCGTTGCGGTGTTGGGTACACTCACGTGGTCGGCTGCTACCGACGCCACGTGGGCGACGATAGACGAAGACTGGACGGTAGAGCGATATGGACGCTTGCAGACGGCGTCATGCATTTCGCGTTGTCGTAGGCGCTCGCATCGCTGCTGTTGGCCATCGCGCAGCGTCTGAAGCTCGACGGCTGGGTCGTCTCGGGCATGCCACCAAACGCAATGGTGGGTCTCTTACCACTGCTGCGCCACTCGACGTCGCGCGTGCTCTGGCGTACCGCCGAGACGCCTTCGGTGCCGTCGGTCGTCGACGGACTTGTCTGGGTCGGCGACAGCAGCCCCAAGACGGTGCTCTCGCTGAAGAAAGCCTTCCCGGACATCCCGCTCTTTGTGCACATGTCGGAGCATGTTGACTTGCAGGCGCGATCGCTCCGATTCGCCGGCGTTTCGATCTCGATTGACGCGACGGTACAAAGGTTGTATTGAGTAGTACAGTCGTGTGATTCGATTGGTCTCGTAGGCCAGCCAAGACGCCTTTTGGCCCTCCACGTGGCGGTCGCTCGGACCTGTGCACGCCCGGCGGAACGCGATCGCAACGTCGTTTGATGTCGGACACGGCGGCCATCTCTCGCTGCATGGCGAGATCGTGTCGACGGCACCGTGGGCCGACCCGAGCCGCATCGACCTCCAGCCAAAGTCGATCGCAACGAAAATGAAGGGCACGCTCACCGCGGCGCTTTCAACCCACGTCGCGTACCTCGGCGGCACGAGTCTGCTCATCGAGGGAGGTCTCCTGCGTCCTCCGACAACACACACCTTGACGCAGATGCGTAGGGCATTGAAGAGCAATGCAATGCTCGACATTCTACCCACCGACATTCAATTCACGCCCCGAAAGCTCCTCAGCGTGCGCTACTCGTTCCTCAACTGGACGCCGAACGTTGCGCTGAACCTTGTGCTCTGGATTGCGGGGCGGCAAGAGCACTTGATGCTGCGCAGTCCGCAAGCGTCGTCGACACCGAAGAAGCGTCTCTCGCCACTCGTCGGTCGGTCGGCCCTCGGCACCGTGTACGCTGCAAGTACCGAGACCACGCACGCGACCTCGGGCTGGGTCACGCGAACCTACTACCTCGGCGGCCAACTCTGGGACGGCAAGACCATCGTCGCCATCGGCGTAGCCGCCATCAACCTCTACGACGCGGCCCAACCCGTGTCGGCGCACCTCGGACACCTCGCACTGGGGCCCGACCCACTCGAGGACGATATCGACGCGGTCGCATGCTATACGAATGTGCATGCGTCGGGCTCCCAATTGGCGTTCACACCGTCGGCAGCCGTCGCGTCGACAGCCATCTACCGCGAGACGCCGCTGACCTTTGTGGCGCAGACACGTCAATCCGTGTGGTCGCCGACGGCGCCAGGGCGCTACGTCCTCCGTCCACTCGGGTGGGCGGGCGCGTTCCTGCTGCCGCTGCCGTCGTGTCCCCGCTTTGTCGTGCAAGAGGACCCTTGTACCACGAGTTTGTAAGCTCACACGTCAGTAGTATAGGAGAAAAAAACTGGTTAATCTAACATATCGTGCAGTTGGAGCCTTTCTCGGGCACGAGGATCTGGTCCTTGGACTGCGGGTACGGGATCGTCTCGATCTCGTCCATCGCGACGGGCCACTCGGTGCGGAACGCAATCTCCTTGGCGAGCGCCTTTGCAAACTTGACGTGGCCGCTCACGGCGTAGTGGCGCATGTTGGCGAAGTCCGCGTCGTCCATGCCGCCGGGGATGCGGAGGAAGCAGTAGTGCATGCGCAGGTCCATCTTGCGCACGCGCGACATGGCCACCTTGGTGATCTCTTGCAGCTGCAGGGACATGCGGCTCCGGTTGAGCTCGTCTTCTTCGCCGCTCGTGCAGTTTTCGTCGCAGACCACACAAAAGATATGCGCGTCCGGTCGGTCTACAACAGTCCGATCTCGATCGATACATTGATACTTTGGAGAGGCACGCACGCAAGCGCACGTCTTCGAGCAGCGCCGTGTACGCGCCGACAATGTCGGCCTCGGACGACGCGGGCGGGAAGAGATCTTGGCCGCCCAAGTTGATGACCACTGCGTCGGGCATCCAGCTACAGTATTGTCATGGCAACTGCAGACAATATGTTCCATCACAAGTATTAGCGTGTACCTCTGGAGGTCCCACTGGCCGTCGCGGGACGCGATCGTGTTCTTCCACATGGCGCTCATGTTGGCGCCCCAGTCGACCGAGTTGCTGTGCACGCCTTTCCTACAGAGAAAATATCGACGTCGACGTTGACGCGAGATTGGAGACGGACCCGCTCCACGCCAAGACGTGCGCTTCGGCGTTGAAGAGGCGCGACGTGATGCACGGGTACGCGTTGTAGACGTTCTCCATGCGGCCCTTCATGCCAAAGAACGCCTTGTTGTGCGACGCGGCGCCTTCGTTCCCAAAGCCGCACGTGTCCGAGTCGCCAATGAACTCCATCTTGCGCACGGTCGGCGGTGTATACGGGAGCACCTCGGCCGTGCGGTCGACGATAAAGCCGTAGAAGGTGCACACCTTGAAGGTCGAGACAGCGCCGCGCATCTGCGGCTCGGTGCGCTTGGCGACGTTCACGACGTGCTCGCCGCCATCGTCAAAGTGCGCGACCTCGCAGCACGTGGCCTTGAGCGACGCGCGGAGGATGCAGCGGAAGGCGCCGTCGACAAAGACGTTGAAGTAGTTGCCCTCGCCTTTGAGGCGGATCGCGACCGTGGTCGCGCCCACGACGCGCAGCGTGAAGCCGCAGTGCGGCCAGTCGAACTGCACCGCGTTGATCTTGGTCTTGCGCGGACCCGTCTCGCCGTACCGGAGGAAACGCCCGCTGAGGTGCACGAGCGGGTCGACAGCCGTCACGAGGCGGTACGCGCCGCCCTTGTACTTGGCGACATCAAAGTTGTAGACCTCGAGCTCCGTCGTCGTCGGGCTGCCCGACGTCTCGTGGTCGGCCTCGAGCATCCTTGGCAGGACGAATTTAAATTGGTGTATTTTTATAGTTTCCAAGCCGTTTTGGATGGTAGATTCCGCTCGCTGGCCAATCAAACGGACGCAAACGCTGCACATAGCCAATCCAATGCCGGCGCGATGGGCAAGCGCAAGGCCATTGGCTATAATCCAAAGCTGAATCTTGGGTGCGACCGCAAGACGACGCGAGCGAGAAAGGCGGCCCGCGATGCAGGCCATGCACTCGACACTGCGCATCATGCTTGGTACATGGCGGGCGCTCTGAATCTATGGGCGCTAAGACGCGGGTGCGGCCGGGTGCGCGCACCCGGCTGGCACAAGGCGGGCCGCCCCGTCGCACTATCGCGTCACGCCACCTCGTCGCGCCACCTCCGCTGCCAGCATCCCCATGGAATTCTGCAATGCACGACGGCGTGCGTCGACGAACGTCATCTATTTATGCGTTGGCACAATTGGCGACGGGCACCTCTTCAACAGGCGGCGAGACGCACTCCACGCACGCTGCCGTTGCCGGCTTGCTCGCTGGTCTCGAGCTGCTCTGATGTCGTCGTCTCCGACGAGCACGGAGGAGGCACGATCGATGCTTCCTCCGCCGTAGACACCTGGTCGTTCTCAAGCAAAGGGGTCGCCTCGCGCATAGGCAGAGGCACCGAGCACGCCCAGTCATGGAGACCATCGAGGTGCTGCGCGACCACGAGCTTGAACAACGCCGAGAGCGTTGCAGGCGTCGCATCGGCGCTCTCGATGCTCTCAACGTGCACCGGCGACGACAAGCGCTTGGTCAAGGCACGACGCAGGCACGCGCGCATCTTGGCGGTACTCGCAGCGTCGAGGATCTCTATCCCAGTCATGAGCCGCGGGTGCAGGAAAGGCCAAGTGTTGTACCCAAAGCGGCGTCCTCCATGGCCGTGCGCTGACGCTGCTCGGCCATGCGCATATGATACTCGTCTTCGAAGATAGGCTAGACATGATGACGTTGGAGGCTAAAGATGCCAATGTTGAAGTTGGAGTGTACCCGCAGCTTCTGGATGAGAAGCTTCTTCTTCATGCGCTTGCGGGACGCGAGATCAAACATGCCACGGATCGTGCACTCGAGCTGGAGTTCGTCGAGCGCAAGCGCGTCCAGCGGCTTGCCTTGGTTCATAAAGTGCATCGAGGTCAGCTGCGTCGGGTCGACCTTGGTCTTCTTCTCTGCCTTTGTTGGGAGCTGGAACGCTGGCACAGCGCGGTCATGCGACTTGAGGAAGGATGCGATCTCAATGTCTTCCATCGTCATGATGTACTGGTCGAGCGTCACGAAGCGGTGGCCAAAGACGTAGCCGCTGCCAATGTGGCCCGTGAGGAGCTCCTTGCCCTGGAAGAAGCGAGAACCAGAGACCGCATCGCTGCAGTCGACGTCGCCAAAGGCGATCGTCGCTTCGAGTCGGGCGTCCTGCAGCAGTTCGAGCTGGGCTTGCAGTGCGGCCACGTCGTCGCAGCCGCACACCGGGTCGATACCGAGGCCGACATGCCGGATCGTCTCGCGGAGCTCCTCGGCATGAACGTGCGCCAGCGAGGTCGATGCGTCGAGCGCGCGGACGTCGCGTTCCAAGGCCTCGTGGCGAGCGTGCTGCGTCGGCGACGTCGGGACGCGGTAGCCACCGAAGCGGGAGACGACAGGCAGCGCTTCATCAAAGAGGACGACCGACACGTCGGCGAACTGGATGCGCCGGCTTCCGTCCTTGGCGCGCTTGGCGGGCGGGGCGTCATCGGGCCGATCGAGCTCCCGCTTCATGCTGCCGATTGCTTGCCACTCTGCCGGGACGATCCATTATTTTCGACCACTTTAACGCCTACTTTAACCTCTTCTCTCCCAACGAAAAGTTGCGTTTTTCGTTTTCCACGCCTGGCGATCGCGTCGTCAACCCATCTTCGCCAGCGACTGTCCTGGCCTCCTTGGCCCACGGTATGTGGAGCAACCGAGACGACCAAGCCTGCAGCGTACGCTACGTCCACCAAGTCGATGCCAATGGGCTAACTAAACGCGTGTCGAATGCACCGTCCGGGTAGCAAGGGGCATAGCACGCAGCACTGGCAGTGACGCTTTGGCATCTTAATCTTAGCGTCCTTTGTCTGGTTTCACGCGACGTCGGCGAGGCAGTTGTCGAGCGACCGGCCGCGAGGGGCGTTCGCTGCTCTTACGAGCAGCTAGCACTCTCTACGAGCAGAGACGACTAAAGCACGGTTCGCGTCTTGCGCAATTCAAAGTGAACCTCGCTCGCGTTCGGGTAGCTCGTGATCTGGCGCTCAAAGATGTCCTGGAACGGGCCCATGAGACGCTCGAAGGTCGCGACGTCCATCGACAAGCACGAGACGTCGGTGGCCGCGACAACGCTCACGGCGCGCTTGGACTTCTCTGTGAGCGCCTGCATGCCCGCGTCAACGATGTAAGTACGACTCTACTTGCATACCTTTTCGCCAAAGTAGCCGCCCGGCCCGACCGAGCCGACAACGGAGCTCGTGCCGTCGTCGTCCGAGTAGACAAAGTTGCACTCGCCGTCCACGAGGAGGTAGAAATGGAACGTGTTGTAGTCGGCGTCGTCTTGGCGGATGACGACGTCGCCCGCGCGGTACGTCGCGGGCTGCAGCGCGTCGGCGATGATCGAGACCTCATGGCGCGTCAAGTGCGACATGAGCTCCATGTTGGCCAGCAGTGCTTCGTATTTCTAATGCCACCGTCTGCATCGCGCTCTGCACACATGTCGTATTACCTGCGATCGCATCTTGCTCGCCGTGACAATGATGCGCCGAAACGTATCGCGGTCCAGCGCCCAGAGCACGGCGTCCGTGGTGGCGACCACGGTGGCCGCGCGAGGGCTGTTGTACATGAGCGCGAGCTCGCCAAACGTGTTGCCTCGAACATAGTGGAAGACGGGCGTCGCGAGGCCGGTCGCGCGCGTAAAGACGTCCAACTCGCCGTCGTCAATCACGTAAAAGTAGTCGCCTTCGTCCCCCTGCGCGCCACGCATGAGACCCACCTCTTCGAGCGTTCGCACCTGGTTGATGACAATGTCGCCTCGGCGCACGACCTTCTCCTCCATGGCGCCGATGACGTCGCGCTGCTGCTCCACGTCGAGCGAGTTGAACATAAAGTTGCTCGCGACCGACCGCTTGATGCGCTCGATGGCGTCGTCTGACTTGGGCACAAACTTCTTGGGACCGACCATGGCGCTCTGGAGGCTGCCCGAACTATATCCGCTTGAGGATGCAGCGCCGTGCCTGCGGCTAGGGACCTACCTCACGGACGGCCGTCGCCCGCGGCTCTGTGCCATGGCGCGCCGCTTCCGATCTTCGGCGTCGTCCTCGGCAAGGACCGCGTCGTTGGAAAGCGCGCTCACGTCCTTGGCGCGCTTGGCGGGCGGGCCACCGTCCGGCCCATCGGGCTCGCGCTTCCCGTGCCACTCTCCATGAGCGCTTGCCGCACCATTTTACCCTTGACCGCGTACTTTAACGCCAAAAATAGGATGCGTCGTGGAATAAAACGCAATGCCGCCGTGGCGGCTAAAGACGTTAAAGACCCACCTTCAAGGAGGTCAGGTGAGACGTACTACTGTACAATTGCTCGAGTCAAAACGCAGATGCACCTCGTCGACCACCTTGGTACCGATGGAGGACGCCTGCTTCCCACATAGTATATAAGGCATGCTTCGTCGTCGACTTGAATTGGAAAAAGACAGCCAGCCCTATCATCAAATTACCGTCTTTCTCCGCCATTTACCGTCTTTTCGACGTCATGCGGCCACTGCGTGTTGCTCATTTGAACGGCGCTTCTTCGTGTGCAGCGGCCTATTTGGGGTTACGTCCAAAGGCGATTCCTTGGTGCGAGCGTTCGGTATCACTCCCATAGTACTTGTTATGTTCCTACCGGCAGTTAAGTGCCCTAATCCATGGCTCACGAGAGTCGATTCGGCGGGTCCAGCAGCATGGCACTCTTCCCCAGGACACTGCTGTATCGATAGTCTATTGCAATGGTGTCTAGTGTAGAACAACGAGGGACATGTCGCATAAAGATAACTTTCCATTAAGATAAACGATGCACAACATCGACACAACAACTCATCTTGAGTGCCATCGTCTTGGGGTCCTGGCCGCACATCTTCATTGGTTGTTGTTGTCGTCGCCGTTGTTGTCGTCGTCATCGTCGTCGTTGTTGTTGTTGTTGTCGTCGTTGTTGTTGTTGTCGTCGTCGTTGTTGTTGTCGTCGTCGTTGTTGTTATCGTCGTCGTCGTCGTTGTCGTCGACGTCGTTGTTGTCGCGGATAGGATAGCGGTTCTTCAGCTCGGTGACAAGCAGCTCGCGGTACGCCATCATCGACGCCTCGAGGCACCAGACGACGGGGCCGTCGACAAGGGCGTAGCGCTTCAACCCGCCAAACACGTTCTTCGGGTCCGCCTCGCAAACAAATTCGCGAAAGGCGGCACTGCCCGCCTTGACGTCTTCCTGCGTCAGCCCCGTCGCGACGGACTTGAACTGCTGCAGCGCAAACTTGGTCGTCTCGAGCCCGGCCGTGGCGACAGCCGCGTCGTCGAGCGACCCGAACGGGGTCAAGAGAACCGCGTTGTTGATTGCGCCGACCCACTCGAGCCCGACCTCGGCGTACGTGATCAAACCATAGAGCAGCGTGCCCGTGAGCGACGCCATCTTGACCTTGATCGGCTTTCCGTCGATCGCCGGGTGACGTGTCAGATGGTCGATAAAATAGAGGTAGTACGGGCCCTTGTACCCGTCCGGCAGCCGCGGCGCCTTCTTGGTGCCCGGCGACAGAATGCAGTGGGTCAAAATAAAGGCTGGTGGCACGAGGGTATCGTGCGCCTACGTATATATGTGCGTCATGAGCGACATCAACGACGAGATTGATCGAAGCGTACCTCGAGCACCGTCGTCGATGTTGCAAAATGCTGGCGCAGCCCTTGCACCGTGAGGTCTTCAATCGTGCAGCGCGTCTGGGCAACGTCCGTGCAGACAGCTTGGACCACCTCAGCGGTCTCGAAAGCCATAGCTTCGAGGCCTTGGACGCCGCCTTGGACGCCTCCAACGGCGAGCTGTGTCAACGCATGCGCGGCCATGTTTTCGTTGTGCATTGCATCCACGCGCGCCGAAAGCAGCGCCATGTCCGCGGCAGTCGCGTCGGCGGCGGCAGTCAACTTGGCGTCGATCTGCGCCGTAATCTGGACCGCGTACTCTGCCACCACATCCTTGACGACGTTCCGCAGCGCGGCAGTCGAGATGATTTCTGTGTCGCGGGGCAGGACCTTCGCGCTCGAAGGCGCTTCGCGGCTCGAACGCGCCGGAATCTTGACCGGCGGCGAACTTCCGGTCGAGCCGGGACCGATGCTGCGCTTCACCCTATGCGACCAATACATATACGTATGCACGACTCGAGCAGCAACGACATACAAGGCGCCGCGTCTTGGCGTTGCGGGGGCCTTCTGAGCGAGCGCTGCCGTCGCCGGAAGCTCGCCATAAGTGTCCCTGCCACGCCCAATGAGTTTATCCGGACAATCGACATGCGACACACCGCGTCGCGAGGATGGAGCTTTTGCGCATCTTGAAGACACTACACGGTAGAGGTGGACACGCATGAACCTATTGCGAACAGATACGATGTCGCTGCTTACGTGTGCTTGGCTTGTTGGTAGCCAGCGCCAAAGATGAACGCCATGGCCTCTTGTTCGTCGACCGTCAAGCCGGCAGATTCGAGCGTGGTCTTGATGGCCGGCGAACACCCGCCAGGCGTATTACCATAGATCGCAACCAAGTGCTCCATGGGGAGGAGCTCGAAGACGCCCTGAATCTTTTCCAGCGCGCTCATCATAGCGGGACTGAAGCGCGGCGCACCCGCCATAGCTTGGGGCATCGCGGCCATGGTGCTAAAAGTACTTTGGAAGCGAGCTCACGACTGTTGGTACTGCCCGCGGTCCGTTGATACAAACACCAAGTACTCGGCCAAGCAAGGTACACTGTAGTGCTTTCTCGCATCGTCGTTTCATCGTCTCCTCCGGTGGCTGCCTCAACAGTGCGCTCGACCTCTGCACGCTTCTGCACCAATGACTGTACCAAGCACATGCATTGCACGACTGTTGCCTCATACGAGCGGTACCACCCAGTGTCTCGTAGCCGACCTGCAGCAAGCAGGACGAGGGCAGCGCGTGCGATCGACGGACGACGGGTGTTGCAATCTTCTTCTCGACAAAGCGCGAGACGATGTGATTGGTCACCTTATTCTGGACGTGATCGTTTCAGGTGGTCGTTTTGTTCGCGCCAAGCGCACCGACTTGAGCGGTTGCGCAACAGCCGCGCCCACGATCATCTCTAGCTGCGCTGCTGGCCCGGGGCCCAGGTAACGTTAGCTAATTTACGTGGCGCCCAACAGATAATCCACACGAAGCGACCGTAGCTGCTTCCTTGCATTGAAGGATCGACGACTCATTATTGACGCATGGACGAGTATCGCATGGACCGTCGCCAGACTTTCAGACTATTGATACACTATAAATTGCGAGTATTCGCGCCATGTCTTTTGCTCTGACAGCCGCCGCATATTAGTACAGCGGTTAGGTTGGGCTCTGGATACAGGATCGCCACCGCGTGGCCGAGCTGCAAAGTTGAGTGCATAGTCTAGCGCCTACGTGGCGATCGGGGGTCCTGGCTCAAGTTGACCCGGGTGGCTTGATTACGTTCAGCTCGTCGTCTACTCGCGGCTTTCGCGTCCGCTCCTCAGCACCGACCTTCGAAAGCGCGATGCTGTCAACCACATTTGGCCAGGCTGCTACAAGTTTTGGCTCTTGCGCGTCCATCGTAACCACGGCTTTGGCTCCAGCGCGCTTCGCTCTACGCCCTCTGGTTCGACATCGACGACGGCTTCTCGTAGCGCGCTCGTGACCTCGACGTGTCGACATGAACCATGTTTGGCGCCTCGACCACAGCCTCCGGCGCACGTAGCGCGGCTGCGACACAATAGCTTTGTTAGCACGCAGATACCAACATACCCTGCAGCAATACACGAAACGTAGCCTTGAACGAAACACACAACTGAGAGAAACGCTTTGACGCACCGACGATGCCTCACGAGGTTCACCATAACTCTACCAGGTACATTTACGCGTAATAACTCATTTCAACAACAGCAACAACTGAGGTAACACTACGAAAATATGAATTACTTGTTGGCTCGGCGCTTCAAACGGAATGAGGCTCGCGTACGAATGCCGTTACAAGTCATCGTCGCGTTTCCGACGGCGCGAGACGCGCGTCATTTGCGCCAGCGTCGGTTGCAAGCCTTGCTCACGCTGAAGGTACGCGAGAACGTCGTCGCGGAGGTTGGTGCATGCGGTCTCGAGGACCTTGTGCATGTAGTACGGCGCGTTCGGCTGCGTGACGAGCCAGCGCAGAATTTCAAGCTGGTTGCTCGCAGCGGCTTGGCACATGGCATCTTCGAGCGTCACTTCGAGTCGATTTTCCAAAAGAAATCGCACGAGCGCGAGGTTGCCGCTCTGGACCGCGGCTTGGATCGTCGCCTTGTTGAAGCCGTTATAGTCGTGCGCGTGGAAGAACGCGATCAAGTCCAAGTGACCGTTGAGCGCTGCCACGTTGACGTAGCGAGACGACCAGCCGAAAATCTTCTCGCGCTCGGCAAACTCGACAACATTCAAGCAACCATGGCGGCAAGCTTGCTTCCAGACGTAGCGCATGCCGCAGTTGAGGCCCAAAGACATGCGAAGGATCTCAACGTGATTGCGGGTCGCCGCTTCAAGCACGACGTGGGGATGCATGTATGACGTTGGCGGCCCTGTCCGAAAAAAGGGCGCGATGACATCGGGGCAGCGGTACGTGGACGTCGTTGGGAACACGAGTCGCCACCCTTGGTGGTATTGCCCAGCTGTAATCGTGTGCTCCGCTGCGAGCCATCGAAGCACTTCCATCTCTTCGACGTCGAGGGCGTACACAAAGAGGTGTACTTGGCACAGTTGACGAAGCTCGGATGTGCCCCGTCGAGCAAACCACGGCTTGAAGACGGCGTCGAAGGTGTCGTACGGAGGGCGGCCGACCAACACAGAGCAGCCGCGGCAGGCCTGGCGGAGCGCGCGCACGTCCTCAGTTACGCCGTTGGAGAAGCTCGCGATGAGCGGGATGAGGTCCTCCGAACGAAGGACGACCATGAAGCCAGTGGTCATGATGCCAATCTTGTTTGCGCTCTGCAGATTCGAAAACACCTTGGGAGCTGTTTTCAACACCGGTTGACGTTTAACAAATCTGTTTTAAACACCGACAGCGACGTCAAACCGAGCTCGTCATCGTTGTCGCTGTACTGGAAGTGCAAGTAGAGTACCAGTTGGTAATAAACGGATGCATGTGCATATACTAGAGATGCTTTAGCCTTCGTCGTCGACGTACAATGTTAATTGCAAAAAAGAGAGCCAGCCATATAATCAAATTAACCTATTTAGACGCCTCTTCGACGTCATGCAGCGACGTCAAAACCCTGGATCTACGTACTTAAACTGTCGCCACGCTTCCTTCATGGCCGTGTGCATATACTAGAGATGCTTTAGCCTTCGTCGTCGACGTACAATGTTAATTGCAAAGAGAGAGCCAGCCATATAATCAAATTAACCTATTTTAGACGCCTCTTCAACGTCATGCAGCGACGTCAAAACCCTGGA